CGTTTTTTTTACCGTAAATTTTACGGATTTTTTTTTACAGTGTACTGTAATGCTGTAGCCTAGGGACCTTTGGTTATCTTAAGGCACCCCTGCTTATAGCTTATAATATTTATGATAATGTTAAATGGTATCCAGTATATGAGTTAACATTGTTGATGAGCCTCACTGAAGGGACTGAGGAGGGAACGTAAGCCAAGAAAGGTTGGGAAACACTGGTTAAACAGTGATTGAGAGTTGAGAAACATCACTACTATTGACAAGCAAAAATGTAATGTACTTCTATATAGTCTATATAATAATTTATGAACATTAATAACAAGCCAATACTTCCCTTGTATTATATTTGAATATTTCATGTGTTTTATTGTTTATTTTGTATAAAAGTAATACAAATCAATAATATTTTATATTACTTTACTTTTATTAAATTGCAATGTTTTTATAGTTTAATTGCATCATAAAATTTAACCTGAGATTTTGAACACTCTAGCAGCTGTACTGCTTATATAATGAGTGCTTAAAAAACCTTGCATGCCATAAAAATCCTCTAAATACGCTCGAGCAGTCTAGATTTCACTGTGTGCATGTGTATATGCGTGTGTGCGTGAGTGTGTGTGTAATCTTCAGTATGGGATCATAATTTGCAGAGCATGCTGTCATTCATGCATTTCAATGATATAGCTGCTGAGTACATAAACACGGTCATCTGACAGACGTATCCGAATTGCAAACCCTAAAGAGCCACAATGCTAAAAGTCTCCTGACTGGCATCTGCCAGTCTCTCTGAAAGCCTTTGTGTCTGTTCCTGTCGTTACTCTGATGCCCTAAAGCCTTATAAAAGCAATACAACATATGCTATTGTATGTTAGGTCATCTCATTGTTTACTGTATTGATATTAGCGTTTAAAACCTAGGAAGAAACAATGGAATATGCATAAAATCGGATGCGCTCAACAAAGCTCAAACTAACAACTGTTTACTTTCTTTAAATGTATACGAGCTGCATGCGTGTGTAAATACAGAAGGCTACGTATTAGCTATATTTGTGTACGCATGTTAATATCAGCTCTTCATTTATCATCTGAATCACATGGAGACAAAGAATCATGTGTGTTTGTTTTGCAACACTTACTCTGTCCCTCGAATTTTCGTATTATTATTCCAAGAAAGGTATTCTGAGGAGCGACATGCCCTCTCCTTACAGGCATGATTATAACAATCTTCAGCTGTT